TTACATGTATATTTCAGACCCAAAAGGCTGACTCTGAAGGGGTACAAGCAATACTGGTTCAAGTTCCAAGATACCTCCATTTCTTATTTCAAGAGCAAAGAGGAAAGCATAGGAGAGCCCATTCAAATGATTAACCTCAAAGGTAATGACTTTGTTACGTACTTTTATGTTATGTTTTTCTGCTATATATAGTGCACCATGCTATTAACAGAATGGTAAGTGTTTAGCACATTTTAAAATAACAGATGTTTACCCAAAGTGATTTCCAGGCACACTTATTTGCAATCCAACTCTCCAAAAATCAATTACAAAACACATAACTTGCCTAAATAGATGATATAATAAAAATAATAACTGGAAAATAAGTCAGAAAATGAGAATAAAAACAACTAAATTGTAACAATGGTAAGAAGTTAAATAAAACAGTAGAAGAAAACATTAACAGTGAGCTTGACCAAACCATGAGAGACTTCAAACTTGATGAAAATGGGCCTGGTAGGTCTTGGAGCAGAATGAAAATTGTCAATTGTTGAGCAGGTTCTTATGTGGGAAGCCAGACTATTCCAGAACTTAGAGGCAATGACAGGTCACCTGTTTTTAGCTGAGAAGAGACATTAAGAGAAATTGGGATGATACGCTGAAGGACCTGGAGGAAAAAGACCTGTAGTATATTATGGCCATGGAGGTCTTTAAAAACAAATAGTACAATTTTAAAACCTTTTAGAAATTTCACAGGTAGCTATTGCATGTGTATAGAAGCTTGATTGTAAGCAGGGGGAACTAAGTTGATATTGTTAGTAAGGTATCTCAAAAATTCAACTTACTGGCTCAGATTTCTGAGGTTTGAATTTTGAGATTATAACCCAAAATTTAGACATATAAGTCACTTTTTTTATGTGGCAGAGACAAGCTTCCATACTGCTGATCTACAGCAGGAGTGACATGATGTCTTTTCTTTGTACCAGTAAAGATTCTAGCAGAATACCTAACTGAAGGCAAAATACCTTCAGTTATGCTATGATTTGAAGTTGAAGGATATTTTGGCTATCTGTGATTTCAGATCATTCAAACAGTCGAAGAGGTTCTTAAAGGAGTGGTCAATGTCAGGTGTGGCTGGCAGATAAAACTGGGTGCCATCACGTAACAGTGATAGTAAATGTTGTATTCATGAATGCTAGAGTCAAGGGGTAACAAATATATTGAAACTAAAAGAGGACCTAACATGGATCCCTGAGGGATATCACAGTTAGTAGAAACTGAAGCCGTTTCCTATTTGGACACTAAAGGTTGAGGAAAACCAGTGTAGAAACCCTGCAGTCCTACGTTATGCTTCAAATGTTTTGTTGTTCAAATGTTAAAAGTATTTATCTAGAAAGCAACTTGGGAGAAGAGAATTTTTTTCTAAAATCTTGGCAAAGGAAGGTAACTTTGGTATCGGTCTGCAGTTACTAAGGAAATATGGGCAAAGTTTATGCTTCTTTAGAAACGGCTGCATGACTGTGTTTTAAAACAGGAAGGAATGACTCAATTTGCTAAATAATTATAGCGTAAATAGTCAGAATAAAAGGAGACAGTGGACCAAAAGCTGCCATGAAGAAGTGTGCAGGTATTATATTTAGAGAACAGTGATGAAGTTGACTGACTCTCTGAAAATGTTAAATGCGGGGGTGACATTTTAGATCTTCTGGTGTTAATGTTGTCAGTGAAGAAGTCCAAAAACTTCCAACACATATGGAATCACATATCAGACACTGAGTTTTAATATATTGCAAGAAGTGAACACCTAAAGGTAGATAAGTACTATGAGTTAAAAGTGAATTAACCTCCTAGGACCTGGCGTCCACATATGTGGACATCACATTTTGGGTTGTCTAGACCAAAATACTAAATTTTGCTTTACAAGGGCCTGATATCCACTCACGAGGACATTATACTGCCTCTGTTTCATCAAAATTTAAAACGAATATCCTCATATGTGGCTCTCATTTTTCTTAGGAACAAAAATGGCGTAAAAAAAACAAATGTGGTGATTCTTTGTTTTTACATTCATCGGGTCCCAATATGCCCAAATATCAAAGAGAAATTAAAAATGCATGACATGGAAGAGTTCGGGTCTTAGGAGGTTGAGGAGAATCAGCGGGGATCATATCAGTCTCTTCCTACACGCTTTTTGTTTTTAACAGCTTAACCATGAACCTAATGATACCACTTTAATGTTGCTCCTTTACACAGGATGTGAGGTGGCTCCAGACGTTAATGTGGCTGCTCAGAAGTTCCTTATCAGACTCCTGATTCCAGCACCTGAAGGCATGAATGAGGTCTATCTTCGCTGTGAGAACGTGAGGCCACACGCACACCCATACACCTCTTCTCATCTCTACGTGTGACATCCTTTCATTTTCAATGCCTCTATCTTCAGTTCATCATCTCAGCTCTGACCACAGTCACACCTGTCTCTCATGCTCTTTTTTCTATGTTATGTCTTTGAAATTCACCCTGCAGGAGCAGCAGTATGCTCAGTGGATGGCAGGGTGCCGGTTGGGATCCAAAGGCAAGACCCTCGCCGACAGCAGTTTCCAAAGTGAGATCCAGAGTATCCGCTCTTTCCTGGCGATGCAAAAGACCAACTCCAGTTCCAGCAGTGCAAATGCCAGCGAAGAAAGCATCAATACTCACAGTCTGGTGTCACCACGTTACCATAAAAAGTACAAACCCAAACAGGTACAGATGTAGCAACAGGCCACAAAAGGATAAATGTTGCAGATTTATTGTCTTGTGTTTTCACAAAGCAGTATTTTTGATCTCATATATTTTGTGTGGCTCAAATTACCAACCTAAATGACCTTACAGTACAGTAATTTTGTGCAACTGTGCAAATCTGCAACTGCTTATGGCAGCAAAAATATAATTAAATCTCACCTTTTACCCTCTGCCTGCTCTTCCAGCTGACCCCTCGAATCCTGGATGCATACCAGAACGTGGCTCAGCTCTCCCTGACAGATGCATTGATGCGCTTCCTGCAGATCTGGCAAGCCCTGCCTGACTTTGGGCTTGCATACGTTGTTGTCAGGTTAAGTTTAAAGTTTCATTTAAAGCTTTTGAGAGTTGATTCTGTGCCAGTGAACACATCAAAGACCGAAATTCACTGTGACAAGGTTATTATAAAGCACTTGACCTCGAACATCCTCCTTCTGTGTGTTATGAACATTATAAATGTTTTAACAGCATAAAAGCAGAGACTGTAGTCAAGGGAAATGCACGCCCAAGATCGGCAGAAATGTAGTTCATGCTAAAAAAAATGAAACTAACCTAACATTTTTTTTTCACTTTTTGGGTAGACAGAAAGAAAAATTTTAAACATCCTTCCACCAGCAATGTGCAAAGTCATCAGACTAAGCGTAGTTCTGTAGAAGTTTAATCATTTTTATATGGAGGACTCAAGACTGACTTTTATCTAAAATAAATAAATAAATTAACTTAGAGGAATCTAAACAAAATATACCCCCCCCCCAAACAGGTTCAAAGGCAGCCGGAAGGATGAGGTACTCGGCATTGCTCCCAATCGCTTGATCCGTATTGACCTTAGTGTGGGTGATGTAGTGAAGACCTGGCGCTACAACAACATGAAACAGTGGAACGTCAACTGGGATATTAGACAGGTATGACTCATATCTTGAACAGGCTTCTGTCTGATAATTTAAAAATGTCTAGAATGCTCATTTTCAACTTCACGTTTTCATTCTCAGAGGTTTTTATGATTCATAGTTCTGACAAGAGGTTTGAACCTTCTACTCGCTGTCCTGACCTCATATTTTACCAAGAGTTTTAGAAAATTGTCTAAGAGGGAGAACTCTGAGTAGTCTGAAGCCTGAACCTTAGGCTTGCAAGAATAATTACTTCTTGTACAACTGATGTACAATGCCTTATTACACAATGGTATTTGTGATAACTGAGCATGAATGAAAAGACGCTTGTGTGTTTAGAGACAGACCCACAAACCAAGCATGAATTTAGCTGCACGCTAAAGACTTCTGAAAACATGCTGACAGTGTGTCTTTCAATAAAGTGACATTTATAGTTCTTACTGGTCAGATCTTTTAATGGAAATGGTTGTGAAACTGTGGGGCACAGACAACCAGGTGAAAAACCTGAAATGAAACTGAGATTGATGAATATGCTTTTACAAAACCAGAAAGAAAATTTAGGAGCTATTGCCCTAATGACTTACAACGTGGGATATGTATGTATATTTGTAGTGAAGATATTTTTCATCCCTGGATTAATATTTTTTTTCTAAATAGCTCTGCATTTCTTTTGTGTTAATTTTCATCTACTCCAGATGGCCATTGAGTTTGAAGGGAATGTGAACATTGCCTTCAGCTGTGTGACTGCTGATTGCAAAATTGTTCATGAGTTTATCGGAGGCTACATTTTCATGTCGACACGCAGTCGGGAGAAGAGTGAAACGCTCAATGAGGAGCTATTCCACAAGCTGACCGGTGGCCACGAAGCTCTCTAAGACTGAAACACAAAAGCCCAGACAATGGGATGGTTGACAGCCCATCAGACCTCCTGTGTCTCAGTGGAAAACCAGCTTGGAAAAAGACTTAATGTTTAACTCAAGCAGCCACAAAAAGATAAGGAAATCATCAAAAACAAGATACTCAGTTTACTGTAAATGTGTTAGAAACTTGTAAGTACACCAAGTTTTCCATTCACACATCAGTGGATGTTAAACTTGATATGTTCTGACATGTTCAAGACTCCAGCGGTCCTCATGCTGACTTCCCCCCTCCCTACAGGATGGACTGCTGCTGGGCCAATCTGCTGGGCTTCTGGTCCAGGTTCAGCAGGCGTCATAATCAGACTCAAAGAAATGTAAAATCAACAGCTGAATCAGCCAGCTCTAACTTCTAACTACTTTTCTGAACTCACTCTGTCAAGAAATGTAATCAGCATTGCTCAGAATTGAAAGCCTTGAATGTCCAGAGCTCCAGACCCAGTGTTACTTAAACTTTTTATTAGAAATTAATGTTACAGGTAATGATATGACTGAGAAATATAAGATAAATGGCAAAATATTCACCACATAAAACATTTACTAAAATAAATAGAGCTGTATACTTTTCATTATCTCTTGTTTTCCCTGTGACATATTTTGGCAATTTCTTACACAGGAAACCTCAAACAAGTTATCTTCCCTCACACACTGTGCGTGTCAGTCCATATCTTACTGGAAACTGCAGTCCGTTAAACCTCAATGTCTGCATCCTCTCATTTCCCATGCTTAGCCACGTGACTAACCACATGCACAATACGCTTTATTTAAAGATCTGCCAGTTAAAATATCCTGGTAGTCATTGGTACAATGCTTTATTTAGCATGAAGTGGGGAAAACAAGGCTTCTGTATTTTTAAGTTTGTTGAATTGTCATATAAAAATAAGGATACACCTTCTGTCCTGTTCACTTTCAATAATGAATCAACAGTTTAAAGTTTACCAATCAGGTGCCACTTTGGGAGATTTCTGAATATACACTTCTGTTGCTGATAAATCGATGCTGCTGGAAAACAAGTGTTGCCAGGGGAACTGGGATAAGCATCAACCAACCGTCGGATGCTAACATGGTCAGGTGAGTGCGGTAATGACCAATGACAGGACAGCACTCTCTGCTGTTACTGCAGTGGCAGGATGCTCCCTGGAACACAGCAAAAGAGAGCTCAGTGAACAAGGAAATAGTGAACCCAAATCCACGTAAGCATAAAATCTAAACTTTTATTTCTGTATAAGAGTTTTTCTTACTTGAAGGTCTCAGTCTTAGAGCTCGGCTGAAGTATTTAGGTTGAATTTTACCCTCAGCATCACCTTCAGTCAACAGCACATCATTCTCAGACCAGAAGAACTTGATACCATCTGTAGAGACACATAAAACTAGTAGCATTGGTTCCTACACATATAGAGTAAAGGTAGATAATTGGACAGCAGCAATCGGGGTTTAATCTTACCAGCCAGTGCTTTGGGGACATCAATAAACACAGCTAGATCACAATCTTTCCTCATGCCTGGTGGGGGAAAAAAAAATAACGCTGTAGTACAAACCTCCTGACAAGCTACTCTCCATCAAACTCACACGAGCATACCACTGATGATGCCGTCCTCCCCTGGCAAGCCTTGTGCCAGATGGATGTGTGTCCTCTTCATGCGGCTCAGGCCCTGCTGCTGGATGGAGCTCCAGTTTCTGAGGTAGGAGCCATGAACAGCCTCAGCAGGGCAGTCTGGAGAACCAGCCATGACCGGTTTCAGCTCCAGATCCACAACCTGACCGTGGAAACACAGCCAGGATAGCCACAGATTTACAAAGCCGCCTTAAATCTGGTAAAGAAAGGCATTCTGGTTACTATTGCTTTATTTTAGTAATTAGTCATGGGCAGTTGATTAGTATCGGAGAAAATAGTGAGAGAAATTATTAAACTCAAGCCCAGTGAGAGTTTGACTGATCCCATGCTCAGCTGAAATGTCAACAACAGTGGCAGTGTCAAAAAATTTAAAAGGAAGATATTCCCCATTGTTATTGGGCCTAAACCTAACATCAAATGCAAACGCTCGTGCAGGGTTTTTCCAGCATCAGTGGGGCATTTGGGAAGGCCTGACTACACATATAATCATTATCAGTCTGTACACATTAAAGACAGCTACTCTGTGTATCCGTGTATTTTCCTGTAATTTAAGATTGTTAAAAATGTAATTTTGGGATTAATTCTAAGACACTGATACGCTGATATTCCAAAGACTCTATTTACATTGATTTATTACATTATTTGGGATAAAATGGAGTTTGTTTTACCATGTTGTAGGACTTCTTCCATGACAAGAATGCAAAGAAATAGAGTAACTTCTTCAAAATAGTCTTTGACTCACTAACACTCTCCCACACATACACATCTACAGTATATTAGGCACAAATTGGGTATATGACTAAAGCAAAGTCTGCATTTTCTGAGTTGCTTTTTGGTTTTATGTCCCAAAAGTATATAAATCACATTTTCATCATATTTTTCTAATCATTTGCTGATCAGCAAGAACAAACAAACAAACTGAATATTTACTGAATTCAGCATCTAGCTAGGCGATAATGCAATATAGCCAATGTGCTGACAACAGCAAGTATAAGCTTCTCAGAGTTTACAGGTGTTGACATGTCTTACAATTTTGTAACTCTCATTACCTGTACTGAATGACCCTGATTGGCCCGAATCTGCAGCCGGCCATCCTCAGGGTGGGTACAGAGCTTAAAGCGCTGCTTGTCATTTGTGGCCACAACTCTCTCAACGTCTTCCAACGAGTACGAGTGGAACTGCGGATGAGCCAGGAGATCCTCCACAAACAGGAAGCCGTCTATATGTGAAGAGAGCTGTTATGACTATGGTCAAATTTCCCCTGTGGATGTTACAGCCCTGTGAGCAACAAGTTGTTTGTTTGAGGCACTGATCCAATTTGGCAGCATTTTCTCTACAAATAATCCAAAAAAAAAAACAGCAAAAGGATGTTAAAAAGTTCAATATTAAAATTAATAAAAATAAAAATAAATCTAAGGTCTGCATCTGCTATCAAAATTATGACAACATCATTAAATGGGATCTGTCCATAGGTGAAATTTGTTATATGGACATCAGAAATATGTATCACCCACTTTTCTAATTGCTTAAAATTGTTCACACTACTTATTTCATATTGAATGCATAAGTCTTTTTGGTGTAACTGAAGTTTTTTACCCTTCTTGTTGTTTACATCAAGCAACGTGATTGTGATTAAGACAACTCTAGGTATTTCACCAGTGAGTGTTTTTCTAAGGATGCATTCCAGCATCACATGTAGACAAAACACAATGAATCAAATTTATGAATGATAATAATCAGAGGTTCCTCTAGTTAGTTGGTACTAATCTCTATGCGTCCTCAGACTTTCCCAATGCATAGTTTGTACATGCCTAAAGGAAAACATTATGCTCCTAGGCTCTGATCCTAGGAGCATAAGAAAGGGCTACAAGCACAAGCTCCATAGAGGCAGAAATCTAGCACAGCTGATAAAGACCAAAGTTGAAGACTGTGCAAAGGTGCTCCAAAGACACTCCAGCACATAGTAGAAAAAGGTAAGATGGTACCTGGGACAATATACACCAAGAGAAACAACCAAGTGGCTGGGATAGTATACAGGAACATCTGTTCCACATATGGACTAGAAATCCCCAAGTCCTCATGGCAAACACTGCTGAAGGTGCTTGAAAATGGCAGGGCTAAGGCCCTGTGGGATTTCAAGTTCCAGACAGACAAGCAGCTGCTGGCCAGCCAAACAGACATAGTGTTGGCTGACAAGGAGCAGAACACTGCAGCTGTGATAGATGTGGCAATCCCAGCGGACAGCAATATCAGAAAGAAGGAACACAAGAAAACAGAAGTACCAACAACAACTGGAGGAGATGCAGAATGTCCAAAGTGATCCCAGCAGTAAAAGGAGCAACAACCCTGAAACTCGACGAGCAGACCAGCAGATTTCAGGCACAACTTTAGTGTAAGTGCTTTTCTGTCTAACATTCACACACATTCATACTCTGATGCATCAGTGGATGAATGTGCCTTAGCAAGATACACATTGGGAACAACCAGGGATCAAACTACCAAACTTCTGATTAACAGATACACTACGTCCTTATACACTAATTACCGGAACTGAGCAATGGCTGTAGCTCAATGTATAATACTGTACCAGCTGACCCTGCTCTGAGTCAGAGCTCCAAATTGTCTTGTTTAAAGCAGCTTCTTAATGTTAAGGAAACCAAATTTATGTTGGTTTACAGAAATCACCCTCAGATCTCAGATAATATTGGTAAGCATATCCAGCAGAAGACTTTGTGAAGAAAGTATTATACTACAAATACCTGGGTGAATGACATCATTTTCTTTAAAGGTCATATTGGGTACTCAGTAAAATGTTTATATTGGGTTTTATTTATTTTAAACTGCCCATCTTAATTTTGCTGTTAGGTAAACATATGTACAGGCTACGTTCTTAAATGTCCTTTATAATGGTGACATTAATTACATGCAGGTTATCTCTATGTATCAGGGCCCTTTATGTTTTCAGTACACATCACTTGTCTTAGCCCTTAATAGTGGTGATTTAGGGCTTTTAATGATTTATTTGAACTGCAGAATGATTATAGTATGATTATACTGCCCACATGGACAAGCTAAATGACTTCTGGAGAAAAGCTTTATGCTTAAATAAGATAAGATAAGATAACCTTTATTAGTCCCACACGTGGAAAATTTGTTTTGTCACAGCAGGAAGTGGACAGTGCAAAAGTTATGACGCAAAAATTAGAATACAATAAGAATAAATACAGTACACAGCTGTACAGAATAGAATAAAATAATATACTATATACAGTAGAATAAAATAGAATAAAAATATACAATAAGATAAAAATAGAATACGAATGCTATATACAACTGAGTAAAAATACAACGATGCCAGAAAGGATTATTGCACTTAGTGTTATTGCACATGTGTGGATGTGTGTGTTTGTTCAGTTAAAGTCTTTGTTGTGGAGTCTGACAGCAGTGGGGAGGAAAGACCTGCGAAATCTCTCCGTCCCACAAATGAGACAAGGATAGAGCTAACTGACCACAATCACGAGGTATTTCTGGAGGTGTAAGTGTGAGGCTGGTTTTGATGCTCATTATAAGTGTTTGTGAACTTCCTGTGTGTAATTGCAGGTAATAATATGAAAATTTGCTACATTTTCAAATGAAAACTCCTTTAGAGTCCTTGCTAAATTTGCATCCCTACCAGTCTACCCTGCATTATCTATGTTACCTAGATCTGACTGTAAGCAGCTCACCTGTACCCATTTGCAGACCCATCTGGCTGGCTCCATGGCGAAGTGCATAAGACATGGATTTAGAGAGGCGGACATCTCTGTCCTGGTGGTGGAAAAGGCATCACTTTCAGTAACATACACACACTGAAATTTAGTTCTAATTATAGCTGTGGTTTAAATATAGGACCTAGACTTTACCATGCCAAAACCCTCATACTGCCTGTCATACAGCTAATACTATGAGATATTAAAAAGACGGGAAATTATCCCAATTGAATGGGTCAACAAACTCTCACCTCTCCACCACGATGTCCTCTCCTTCCTCTTCCTCTTTTGCCACTTCCTCCCCCTCCTTTGGCACTGTCCATGAACGCACAGGCAGCTCAGCTTTTCAGACCTCGTTTTACAGCTGTTGTATGATAAATTTCACTGGTTTTAATTCTGCGAAACGTTGCATAGGATAATATTTGTTGTCAGTGCATTGCGCGTAGCGTTTTGGCTTGCTCTCGCTTCCTGTGTGTTCCCGTTCTCCGCTTGCAGGTGGCACTGTGACGGGCAGTGCTCCGGTAATTCGGCACCACAGAGGAAAAGCGGGGTTTTTTTTTTCTTTTCTTTTCTTTTTTTTTTTTTTTTTTGTCCTGGAGGAAAACATCACTCAGACAGACAGCTGTTGTCTGAGTGGCTGCAGGTAAGAAAATGTTCAGGACACCCACCAAAAACAATGACGCACTCAAGAATAGAAACGATCGTTTCCGTCCGTGGTAAATAAGAACCTATCTGGTAAATAGCAGGCTCTAAAGTAGGGACTGTCCGGATACTCCTAGTGCTGGAACTGAACACAGAACCTGAGCTAACTTGGCTAACTAATGCTAGCATCGTTGAGCTTGGGTTACCTGAATTTCTGGCTGGGCAGCAGGGGGGGGGATTTCTGAAAAGTGTACGCTTTCAGTCGTGCTTCTTCTTCTCCTGTTTGTGTGAAACGTCCCATGTTACAGATTGAGCTCGTGGATGAAGAGATCTGCCAGCGGACCGAAGAATTCGAGCAGGTCACCATGGAAACCTAATGTTAGCAACGTTAAAGCTGGACGGCTGTTTAAAGTCTTCCCTGCCATTAAACAGCGCTGAAAGACGGAAACACGAAGAGTTTGCCGTGAGTCTTTTATTTTATCTCTCTCTATATATATATGGTGATAGCCACTTTAACTTTTTGCTCCAAATAATCAATTTCCAATTTTAAAAATAGCTTCTCTCTTTTTTATTTATAGCCGTAGCCATTTATTTACTGGTATAATGATTTAAAAACAACAACAACAACAAAAAACTGCATAACTGTATATAACTGTATAAATCTTGCACTAGCAATTCTGACCTCGGCATTATCCAGTGTCTGTTCTGGAAAAGTAATGTATCTTGGTGCAAAATTAGATGAGACATGTCATTATTCAACAGTTATCGTTTATATGGAACAGTGTCAGAAATCATATATATTTTGTTAGTAAGTGTAAGTAATTAGGAAATGTTTGTGTTGTATTTAGCTGTAGTGTCCCCCTATGATTTCTCTACAGGTAGTCTTATAAAATATTATTAGATGTTTATCTAAGCATTAACATTAATTTATCTAAAGAGTACATCTAAAAAAATCACACTGTCACTCAGAGAAAATAAGTTAATTAACTTATTTAGTTTATTGTGCTTTATTTTGTGCATAGGTAACATGTTGTCTCCCTATAAAGCAGACATGTCATAAATGCTTTATTACACACTGTGATAACTATAATGTGTTTCCAGCTTTGAGGACATTTTAAACATTTTCTAGTGCACAATATTTACCTACAGTTATCCCACAAGAACAGATCCTCTTTTTGTATAATTGTGCTTTGCTTTACTGTATTGTGATTCAGTATAGTTTCATACAGAAGCTTTCACTTGTAGGGGTTAAACGCATCTCTCCCTGTCTTTTTTGCTCAGGTGATGGAGTTTCCTCAGCATTCCCAGCAGCTGCTGTCCGCCCTGCGGTCTCAGCGCCAGCGGGGCTTCCTCTGTGACTGCACCGTCCTGGTGGGCTCATCCCGTTTCCTGGCTCACCGGGCTGTTTTGGCCTCCTGCTCGCCATTCTTCCATATGTTCTACTCAGACTCTCCAGGAGGAAACAGCACCAGCAGCTCTGTCACGCTCGACAGTGACATTGTCACATCAGCTGCATTTGGCTTGCTCTTGGACTTTGTCTATGAAGGAGTGCTGCAGCTTGAAGAGTCACCTCCAGTGGAGGACGTATTGGCAGCTGCAAGCTTTCTACACATGAATGAGGTAGTAAGAGTTTGCAAGAGGCGGCTGCAGAGACGAGGGCCTCTGGCTGAGGCAGACAGCACACGCTCTGAAGAGAGTGCTGGTTCGAGGAAGGAAATAGAGACACGGAGGAAGGATGGGGGTGACCGTGGAGCAGAGCCCATGGTGGCCATGGCATCAGATCACTCAAATCCAGTCACCATAGCTGCACCACTGTTATCAGCATCCATGGTGGCAGAGAGGAGCCATGTAGAGACTGTGAAGTCTGAACAAAGGACTGGTGGGCAGTCATCAGAGGCACGAGTTCAGACTCCTTTGAGCCCCGATCTCGCCGATACCACCCAGCCAGGCATGGATGGCCCTCCTCTGCCCCCAGGTGGAGAGCTGGTGCAAGGCTTCATCACAGGCCAGTCTGCCCCTGCTCCTGGAGGTCACATCAGGATGGGGGCTGTGCATCAGGGAGAAGGCACAGCACTCTGTAGTCCTTGTAGCACCACTGAGACATGCAGGTAGATAAATTGTTGATTTACAGACAGAAAATAAGGAAAAACAAGAACACTTCAATGGCAGCATACATTACTTAATTCTGTTCTATAATTATTTAGTGTTGTCTTTAATTCAGTTTCATAATCAGATGTTTTTAAGGGTGTAAGGACATATATATATATATATATATATATATATATATATATATATATATATATATATATATATATATAACAGGAGAAGTAAAGTAAAATCTGATTTCAATACAGCCTTCACTGAGAGGACTTATGATCATTATTTAGATTAAACCATAAGAAATTGAACATTCTTATTTCTTTTTATCAAAAGGCTTTGTATCTTCCTTTTTATTTTTCAGCAGTAACCAGCAGCCTTCCTCCTCATCTTCTTCTCTGGTCCCAGTGAGCCAGGCTGCTGGTCGCTCACTGGTTGCTCTTCCCCAGTCAGAATCCAGTGCACATCCTGATGAACCGCAACTCCCACGCAATGGCTCTTTAGGGGAACCCTCAGTCACTGATGACAGAAGTACATTAGGCAAAGGACAGCAGATGGTTATGTTGATCCAAGCATCAGCTCTGACCTCACATTTACAATTAAGCGCACCAAAGACGCTGTCCCGGCGTGCGCCTCCACAGATCCGAATTCAGAGTGCCATATCGCTTCAAACCCAGAGCTCAGAATCCCTCGCTGCTGCTCCTCCTCCTCAGAGACAAATGCTTAAAGGACCTGAGGGGGGCACTGGAGCTTCATCTAATACTAAAAATCACCCTCTAATGGGAACAGATAGGAGAGGCAATGATGGAGAGAATGTGAAAGTCAAAGTGGAGGCCATTGTTATATCAGATGAAGAGCTAGAGGATGAGAAAGAGGAAAGCAAAGAGGGAGAACCCGTGATGGAAGTTGATGATGACTTTGAAGATGACATCCAGGAAGAAGATCTGAACAGCCCTCAGTTTCTCTCTTCTCACCCACAGGGCTTCTTACAATTGACCTCCCAAACAAATGATTACTCCTTCCCCCTCTCTCCCTCCTCCTCCTCCTCTGGGGCTGGACCTTCCTCCCAGGATGCTTCCTCTTTCACTGCATCCCTCATTCCTCCATCCACATCTCAGCAGCACTCCGACCCTGTTGCATATTTCCAGGAGCTCCAGGACTCTGTAGGAAACTTCGTAGAGGACGTACCAACGTGTGGTGTCTGTGGAAAAACTTTCTCGTGCACCTACACCCTGAGACGCCACGCCATTGTGCACACACGGGAGCGGCCGTATGAGTGTCGCTACTGCTACCGAAGCTACACACAATCGGGCGATCTGTACCGACACATTCGCAAAGCGCATGACCACACACTGCCAGCCAAACGCAGCAAAGTAGACACAGAGTCCTCTCTGCCAGCGCAGCCACCACCACCACCTCCACCTCTTAGCTAACACAGACACCTTTCAATTCCACAACAAAATGTACAGTATGTACATTTTCTCAAAGACTCCATACTGTTCAGTATGTAATCTGGACCAACCACCTTTCCTCTCTTTATTCTCTTCATAGCTGCCTTCACTTCCTCCTTACTAATCCTCTGCATTTCCTGATTCACTATCTTTTGTCTGTCCTCTTCTCTGATTTTTTAATTCATCAGCTCCTTAAAGTACTCCTTCCATCTGCTCACCACACATTTCATTCATCAGTATGTTTCCATCTCTCTTTGTCCTTAATCACTCTAAAGCTGAGTTTATGATCCAACAGAGAGAGCATGTTTGCTGTCCGCTGGCAGTTTTGGGGTTGCCCGTATACCTGCAGAGAGCTCCGTTGTCATATGGAAGCAGTGTACAAAGTATGTGGTGCAACCGGTCTGTGAGCCACTTTTGCTTGTGCTGTTGTTGATCCATCAGCATACATACAGCATATATGACATACAAAAGAGCTGAAGTGAAGCAGAGTGTTAAAACAGTAAAAAGTTGTCAACTGCAGCCACTGCCTGTTCTGTATTTTTCACCCCGAATGGAAAGATGTACGCTGACAAACACATTTTTGGGACCATAAATTACGCTTAGCCTGCTGCACATATTTCGTTACATACGTTCGTGAAAATTGAAACCACCATTTTTTAAACCCAGCAGCAGGGGAAATGGCTACAAAAATAACTCTGTGGTCCCCAAGTCTGACGAAAGGCCACAGACCGAGCAGCAGGTATATTCTTGCCTCAACGTCCACCTTTTTTTGTAGTGTTCATGTCGCATATTAATAAAGTTGCAGGGTTTTCTGACGCATTGCTGTGATGACAACCACGCAGGTTAGGTAGTACTGATTTGTAATGGAGAACCAGTCGATCTGAGTTGACTCCCGTGGCAAATCAATCCGAGTAGGTACTAATGGAAAAGGGGGATCTAGAAGAGGGAGGAAAAATCGATCAGTAACATTTGCAATGTGGCGTTATATTTCTGGAGTAAATATAACGCAACATTGCAAATGTTACACACAAAAAATAAAAATCGTGGCTGGTTAAATGTTTGAGTGGCTGAGAGAAAATTTCCCACCCCTGCCACTGACTGACTTTTATATCTCTCACTTTAAAAACGCTCCACAGATACCCCAACTTTCCTTTCTGGAAATTTGATCCCAATCTTACCCACACATATTGGTACTTCTTTTATTCACAAATCTAATCTGTTTAATGTTCACTGTTGTCTACTGGAGCCCTGGAACAGATTTGATAGCTGTACTATTGTGTACTCTTTGTAATATTAAGTGACACCTCGCACCCAAGTTTGTAATTTTAAATACCTTCATCATTGTTGCATCAAAGACGTATGTTTGTTAAAATTATCAGAGATGAAAAAGATGTCTAAAAATATTAGTCATGTGACATACTATACCACTTATGCTTTATTAACTCAAAACAAACACAAAGGTTTTATTTTTTTGTTAAATTTGTATGACTGCTCTTTCAGTGCCAGAAAGTTGATTTTTGTGCCATTTTAAACCCCCAAATGTGAGCTCGAACTGTTTTGAAGTCACTTTGTCAATACCTGCCTTGTTTCTTTCTCGTTTTCATTTCCTTCCTCTTTATCTCCAATGCAGTAAGTGTCAAATGAGGAACATAAAGTAACTGATCCAGAAATACTGAAGTTGCATCTGAAAATAATGGAAATGGATAAAGGTGTTAAATTAACTTTTTTATTTCCAGTGACCTGCACAGGATTGGATTTTACATTGTAGTTTACTGCAAGTTATGCTCCCAGCTCTGTGCATGTCCGGTCGTAACGTCTGTGTCTTATCACCACACATTTCAGACTTTGTTTGACATTGTTCATTAGATACAATCAAATGTTGTCAAGGAGACAAAACCCTGAACGCTCCTGGCCAACATTTCTTGATTAGCTAACAGGTTGATTAATCTCATACCAGTTTTACTTCTGTAATTTGACAGAACAGCATATCGTCTCAAGTGCTTGAAAAGAAGGCAGCTGGACTTCTTTATGTTCTTCTTGCCTCTCATCCAAGCGGCTTCATCAGCTGTCTGAGAGTCTTAGTGGGGACTGTATCCTTGGAGGTGGACCTGAGGGTCATTTACGCATTTGCAATGAATAGTTTTCAAGCACTTGAAACTACCATGACTGAGAACCACCACAGTATCGACACACTTGAACACATGCAGTTTTCTGCCTTCTGTTTAAACTTTAAGTTAATGTTAAACACTCTTTCATTCTGCACCACCTTAAGTGTATTTGTATGACAGCTGCTGTGTGTCGTTATTACCATACCGTTATCATATCATAATTGCAGTTAATACATATTAGAGGGTTTTATAGTAGCCAGTCTACAGAATCTAAATGTGCCCTTGTGAATAAACAGTGTTGAGTAGAACGTGCCACATGAACATGGTAGTTTTTTCAGTGAATAAAACATTGCACACTTTGGTCAGTGACTTTTATTTATTTATTTTTTGTTCACTAGAAAAAAAACATGTCATTAAAGATATATACAAAGGTTGTGTAACTTATTCCACAGTTATCATGAATAACCAGCAAGCGGCGCATTTCATATGTAAAATGCTGAGGAGACATCAGGCGGCCTCTTCAGTCATCTACTGGAGCGTGGATCTGTGAAGGGACAAAATATCAGGACAAACCTGCAAATATCTGAAAATATTTCTGTCTGTGTCTTTTGCATTTTCATCAGTTGAATTAAACACAGTTCCTCCACCAAAGAGAATAAGTCTCAACTGAGGTTTTCAGTGCAGTGTAATTTGAGTTTACAAGAAAACGTTATATTTATGAAACCCGGTGAACATGTACTGAATAGCCACAGATGGAAATGTAATATAGATCCAGGAAATAACTGGTAATTAACTCAGAACAGCAGCTTCAAGCAACAACTGGTATTACATGCTTAATTTTTTGTAGGATGTGATTAAAGGTGACTGAATAGTATATGAACCTGCTCCAAAATACAGCCAAGGGTATCCCAAGATTGTTTGGGTCATATTTCACCAAAAAAACACACATTATTTATGTTAAATGTATTAAATATTAATTACTAGGAGACAAAGTTTGGTTTGATCTTGGATTAATGGATCCAAGAGGGGGAAAAAACAACTCACTGCCTCAGCCAAATCAGGCCAATCCATTGCCATCACAATAGTATCGTCTGAATTAGGAGGTGTTTCCAGGTTCCAGTAGGTCATTTTGTCAAATACAGAAGATACTTTCACTGTCCTGTCCTGAAAACACACATAAACACAAGTTACAAAAACCTCATCTACGCATCTGATTTTATGAAATAGTTCTTGGACCCACAACTCCAGTGGTATTTACCTCCTGGTCTGAGCCGGGTTTGTTGATCTCTTTCAGTACCAGCCCCGTGTAGCCCTGCGGACAGCTGATCTCCTGCCCCTTTAACCCACGTCCCCTGAATGACACTGACTTATCTGCAATGTGAAAGGAAAAAACAAAACAAAGCATTGAGGATTCTTGATGTGTGCTGTGTAATGCGCAGTTTTCTTTCCTAAAGCACCTACTTGTCGCCTCCAGTCTGTCTAAACTGATTCTGTAAGGCTTTAACTCACTCTCATAAGTCTTCGCATAACATCCCACTTTTAAAGTTTTTGAATTGTTTAAAATCTTGGGTCTCACTTTTATGACCTTACAGGTTGAGGTCCCCACATATTTTGTCAAACTACTCCACTTGTGTTCTCAAGTCCTTAGGTAGGGGTCTTCTTGTGATTCTGCAAACCCATTTGAAAACTAAATATGATAGTGACTTCCAAACCTCCAGAACTAGGGAATAGTTTACCACTTTCTACACACACCCTTTACTCTGTGGCATCCATTATAATGAAGCTTAAAACTCATCTGTTCAGACAGACATTCGGGTAGTGTTCATATGTGTCCACTTTGCTTTAGCATATGCTGGTTTTTGCGCTTTGTTAGTGTTTTCTGTCTCAAAAAGGACAATAAAGCTACATTTTTATTACTTACTTAAGTGTTAAATAGCAACTCACTTTAACTAAAAATTCCCAAGAATTCTTAAAAACCATTCCACTTTTACCCCCAAAACAAATTAATCATATCAGAAACAGCAGTTATTAAAAAAGCAGTAAAAATAGTTTAAAACCAGGATACTGGCAGCTGTTTGCTTTATTTACACATTTAGTGATCTTTTATCTCTACATTTTTATCTGTCCACTGTGGATTAATCCATATTAGCAGATATCAAAAGATTTTGTGTTTACCTTGTTTCTGGTCTTTGGTGGTAGCAGTGAAGTATTGGTTGACCTGTGCTGGCCCATTGTGTTCAATCTCACATGGCATGAGGTGGACTGGAGCTTGCGGTGCCTGTCCCACTGATGATGTACAAAGTCGAATAACACTGGAATTACAGGACATCCTGCAGCCAGGAGACAGAAGAAAAAAGAAAGTACATTTTTAGTTTTTAATTTAACCTCAGTCTCTTTTATCAAACACAGTCACAGACTACAAAAAAAGGGGAAAAAAATTGTATGTGAGACAAACTGAGCCACAAAGTTCAGCCTTTAATCTGAGTGTTTTTCTGCAATTAAAATAATTTTTCAACTGCAGATGTCACAATACAAGGTTCACAATAGTAGTTTTTTTTTTTTTAGCTCTTATGTCCAGCACACTAGTGTACTCAAAAATAAAACAAACAATGAATCATCTGCAGTTGATTCAGAACTCATGGTGACTTTAATGTTACTCCACCTGTTTACAGCTTTTTCTGTTGTTCTGCCAGCCTACTTGTCTGATTGCCTGTCAACCATAACTGTCTGTCAGACCTTCAGCTATGTAATCCATGCATCACAGCACAGGATGAAACTTTTTGGTGGACAGCTTTCAGTCTGTCTGAGTATCTGAGAGCAGCCAAAAGTAATACTTACTTTAAAACAATATTTTTTTTTTCTGGCTTTCGATAAGAATGGTTATTTGTTGACCTCCATTTTTCATACACAGAATACGACATACTCAAAGTGAGCACATGTATGTTTTCCAAAGAATCCCAGAGAAAAAAATAATTCCTATTAAATAACATACAACATGCAATAAAAGTCTTACATTTATTTAAAAGACATATATCTCCACCCTTACCTTTCTGCAGTTTTCCAAACGTGAAACGTTAAACTGGATCTTTTCCGGTAAACAACAAACACAGCTTGTGATTGGACAAAACCTTCTTCTTCTACGCCAGAAGATATTTTGGCGGTTTTTTTCTGCTCAGTCCCAGAATAGCGCCTCCTCCCGGTGAAGCTCGATGTTTTCGCCCTTGAACTGTGAATCACACTCGCACCTCTAGATGTGAGATAGTTAGCCGTATCCTTTTTATTTATTTATTTATTTGGTGGGGGGTTAAACACCTGTCTTTGTAATTTTGATTTCTATTTGAAGTGAAATTAGCGGCCAACTCAATTGCTTCGATTTTAAAGGTTTATTTATTTTTTTTAAAACACGTTCATTCCCAGGTTTCATTTAATATAAGTCTTTGTATTTTATTATGTACGTATATATACATATATTATATGTCTGCATAATATCATATATAACATAATAAAGTAATTATTACATAATTATTAACATAAATAAATACATTTTGAGTAGCACATAAGTAGCACATAACAAGTACTTACTCTTACTTAAGTAAGAGATCTCAGTGTTTCATTTCATTTATTTTTATATATATATATATATATATACATAAAACACCCAGCATGCCCCTGCGGGCGGTTTATCCTTCAAGCTCGGGTCCTCTACCAGAGGCCTGGGAGCTTGAGGGTCCTGCGCAGTATCTTAGCTGTTCCCAGGACTGCGCTCTTCTGGACAGAGATCTCCGATGTTGTTCCCGGGATCTGCTGGAGCCACTCGCCTAGCTTGGGAGTCACCGCACCTAGTGCTCCGATTACCACGGGGACCACCGTTACCTTCACCCCCACATCCTCTCGAGCTCTTCTCTGAGCCCTTGGTATTTCTCCAGCTTCTCGTGTTCCTTCTTCCTGATATTGCTGTCATTCGGAACCGCTACATCGATCACTACGGCCGTCTTCTGTTTGTCTACCACCACTATGTCCGGTTGGTTAGCCACCACCATTTTGTCCGTCTGTATCTGGAAGTCCCACAGGATCTTAGCTCGGTCATTCTCCACCACCCTTGGGGGCATCTCCCATTTTGACCTCGGGACTTCCAGGTTATACTCGGCACAGATGTTCCTGTACACTATGCCGGCCACTTGGTTATGGCGTTCCATGTATGCCTTGCCTGCTAGCATCTTGCACCCTGCTGTTATGTGCTGGATTGTCTCTGGGGCATCTTTACACAGCCTGCACCTGGGGTCTTGCCTGGTGTGACCCCAGCCTCTATGGATCTTGTACTCAGAGCTTGTTCTTGTGCTGCCATGATTAGTGCCTCTGTGCTGTCTTTCAGTCCAGCTTTGTCCAGCCACTGGTAGGATTTCTGGATATCAGCCACCTCCTCTATCTGCCGGTGGTACATACCGTGCAGGGGCCTGTCCTTCCATGATGGCTCATCTCCCTCCTCTTTCTTGGGTTTCTGCTGCCTGAGGTATTCACTGAGCACTCGGTCAGTTGGGGCCATCTTCCCAATGTATTCTTGGATGTACGTTGTCTCATCCTGGACTGTGGTGCTGACACTCACCAGTCCCCAGCCCCCTTCCTTCTGCTTAGCGTACAGCCTCAGGGTGCTGGATTTGGGGTGAAACCCTCCATCCATGGTCAGTCTGGTCTTGCAGTCTCGGCTGACTGTTCTGTCTACCAGTAGCTGTGTTTTGCGCCTCTGGCATTCTTGCTATTCCTTTCTGTGCCCGCTCATGTATTGACCCATGTGCCTGTTCATCTTAGCCGATATGATGCCTGACAGGAGCTCCATGTAGTACTGAGGCAGGTTATTGGTCGGTAGTTGGAGGGGACCGGTCCCTTCTTGGGGTCCTTGGGGATCAGGACCGTCTGACCTTTGGTTAGCCATTCCGGGTGTCCCCTGTTAACTAGCAGCTGGCTCATTTGTGCTGCCAGATGCTCGTGGAGTGCAGTCAGCTTCTTTAGCCAGTAGGCGTGAACCATGTTGTTCATATATATATATATATTAAAATAACAGACAAAAACAAGACAACACAAAACAGTGTTGAAATGAACTAACAGATAAATTGGAAAACAGGAGTGTAGCTCTCTGAACGTTCCTAACAGGAGAGGAACAAGATGTGAAATAAAACTAATACAAATACAAATAAAACTAATACAAACTGATAAGGAGGCTGTTGGAAACATGAATACTAACACATAACTGGATATCAGAGGCAAAGGAACAAAAGGGGGAACAAAGCATTAAAACAGAAAATAGACAGAGGATGATACAGATAGAAACACTGGGGAGACTATTATCACTACCAGTAATAATGCTATTAAAAAAGACATGAAGCAGAACACAAAACTGAAACAAAAAACCCCTGGGGACGATGGACCACGAGATAAAACAAAATAGATCAACAATAAATGATCAGTTCAGCAAACAGTTTGATATGATTATCAGTTTCTGCTGGACATAAAACCAATACACAGTTCAGAATATTAGACCTCATGCAGCATTAGATCATGAGTTAGCATTTGTTACGCTATGGATTCAAACACTGACTATGTCAGAATCAGAATCAGAATACTTTATTGATCCCTGGGGGAAATTATTTTTTGTTACAGTGCTCCATTTTAAACCAACATTAAGACAAGACAGACAATACGCTAACTAAGAATAGTACAATATATACATATATATACATACATACAGCGGGGAAAATAAGTATTTGACACATCAGCATTTTTATCAGTAAGGGGATTTCCAAGTGGACTATTGACACAACATTTCCACCAGATGTTGCCATCAAGCCAAATATTGAAGTCATACAATCAAATCAGAACATATAAGTATACAAGTTAAACCATAATAAATAAAGTGAAATGACACAGGGAATAAGTATTGAACACACTTTATTCAATACTTTGTAGAAAAGCCTTTGTTGGTGATTACAGCTTCTAGACGCCTCTTGTATGGATAGACCAGTCGTCTGCATTGCTCAGGAGTGATTCTGGCCCATTCTTCCACACAAACGGTCTTTAAATCTTGAAGGTTCCTTGGGCCTCTTTTATGAACTTTAATCTTCAGTTCTCTCCATAGATTTTCTATGGGATTTAGGTCAGGTGATTGACTGGGCCATTCAAGCAACTTGATTTTCTTTCTTTGAAACCACTTCATTGTTTCCTTGGCCTTGTGTTTGGGATCATTGTCTTGCTGAAATGTCCACCCTCTTTTCATTTTTAGCTTCCTGGTAGATGGCAGCAGATTTTTATCCAGAATGTCCCGGTACATCTCTCCATTCATCCTGCCTTCAATAATATGAAGTCTGCCAGTACCCCTTGCTGAAAAGCAGCCCCAAACCATGATGCTTCCACCCCCAAACTTGACTGTTGGTATGGTGTTCTTGGGGTGGTGAGCAGTGCCATTTCTTCTCCAAACATGGTGTGTAGAATGACTGCCAAAAAGTTCAATTTTGCTTTCATCTGACCATACTATAGTCGTCCAATAATCCACAGGCTTCTCCAAATGCTGTTGCGCAAATTTTAACCGAGCCTTGACATGCTTTTTGTTCAGCAATGGAGTCTTGCGTGGTGAGCGTGCATGGATGCCATGGCGGTTCAGTGCATTGCTTATAGTTTTCTTTGAAACAACAGTACCTGCTGATGCAAGGTCTTCCTGAAGTTCTGTCCGAGTGGTTCTTGGCTCTTGGAGAACCCTCCTGATTATTCTTTGGACTCCTCGGACAGGGATCTTGCGTGGAGCACCTGATCGTGGCAGGTTTATGGTGAACTGATGCACTTTCCATTTCCGGATAATGGCCCCCACAGTGCTCACAGGAACATTCAGCATTCTGGAAATGCACCTATAACCATTCCCATCAAAATGCTTTTCAACGATAAGATTACGAAGATCTTGAGAGAGTTCTTTGCTTTTACCCATCATGAAGTCTTTCCTGTGTGCCTTCTGGGTAATGAGGAGCCTTTATAGGCCATCAATTAGGACTAAAGCAGCTGATATCAATTGGTACTGATAGGGGACAGGATTTCTCTATCAATACTGACAGATTTCAGGTGATCTCCTGGCTTTCTATGTCATTTTGCCCCTTGTTATCTCCATGTATTCAATACTTATTCCCTGTGTCATTTCACTTTATTTATTGTGGTTTAACTTGTATACTTATATGTTCTGATTTGTTTGTATGACGTCAATATTTGGCTTGATGGCAACATCTGGTGGAAATGTTGTGTCAATGGTCCACTTGGAAATCCCCTTACTGATAAAAATGCTGATGTGTCAAATACTTATTTTCCCCGCTGTACATACATAAGTCACTTATAAATAAATATTTGGAAAAGAAACATGTGTAGTTGTAGCAGCAAACAGTGTGTTAAGTGGATGCGTTGTACAGGGAGATGGCCACAGGCAGGAATGATTTCCTGTGTCGTTCAGTGGTGCTTTTCGGTAATCTCAGTCTCTCACTGAACGAGCTCCTGTGGCTGACCAACATGTCATGGAGTGGGTGGGAGGTGTTATCCAACATTGTCTTTATCTTGGACAGCATCCGCCTCTCCGACACCACCTTGAGGGAGTCTAGCTCCATCCCCACAACATTGCTGGCCTTACGGATCAGTTTATTAAGTCTGTTGGCATCTGCGACCCTCAGCCTGCTCCCCCAGCATGCAACAGCATAGAGGATCGCACTGGCCACACAGACTCATAGAAATCCTCAGCATTTTTCTGGCAGATGTTGAAGGACCTCAGTCGCCTCAAAAAATAGAGACGACTCTGGCCCTTCCTGTAAAGTGCTGTGGTGTTTTTAGCCCAGTCCAGTTTATTGTCAATGTGTACTCCAAGGTATTTATAGTTTATGTGATATTGTAGGCATTATTTCAAGCACCATCACTAAATAATCTCACATGTCATAGTACACTTTGAAATGTCTCGCACATTCGGAGTATTTTGATGACGTGTGTCGCAGTGTTACTTCAGTCTTGCTCAGTTCTGAGAACTCTGCTACAGTTGGCAGCAGCATCTGTCTTAGTGTGGGATGGACTAAATCCTGTCCAATGTGAGTCCGAGAGCCACTAAGGAGAAGTTTCCTGGGGGAGTTTTGCTCATATTGCATAAAATCTGTGTCAAGCCTCCACTGAGGGGACTTCAGGGGAAGAAGAAGACGTTTCCTAACTGCTCACAATTAGCCAGCGCAAGCAAGAGGTGAGTTTTTATAGCAGGACAGATAACTGTTGCAGGCATGTTGTATGGGATCCTACTTTTTTCTTGGATGCTTTATCAGGATTCACGTGAAGAGAAAGTCTCAACTCCCTTCTTCTTTTATGATTTACAGTGTTGTGTAAAATTCTTGAGCTACCCCTCATTTATATTTATCATCTATAAAAATGTCAAAAATAACAGTTCCATAGACATTTTTTTTTTTGCAACAACAAAGGGGTTTTCAAAGAGCTGTTAGCTAAAAGCCTGCCATATCTCATCATGGTGTGCAGTGTCTCCTTAAAAATTTGAGGAAACTGGACAAGTGGAGGACAAAAGAAGAAATGTCATTCCTAAAAAATAAAACTACAGTGGATCTGAGAGAAAAAGCCATTCTTAAGGAAGGGAAATATTGGGAACATGCTGAGGAATGCCAAATTACACAAGAACTGTGTGTACAGCCATCTGTAAATCACAGTGGAGGCTCTATCATGGTTTGGGCTGCATTTCAGTCAGTGGTTTTGGAGATCTTATCAAAACTGATGACATTATGAACACAGAAAAGTACCATCAGACTTTGATTCACCGCTGAATATTATCAGTCTGGCAGTTGACTGCTGACACAGTTTGAAGTAATCTGATATGAAAGAACTCTGCATGTGACTGTGATTGGACTCAGCGGATTTGCAGATCTCGGTAACATGAATGTGAAGGCTTGTGCCGAAACATCATAACATCATCAGCCACACTAAGGGTCTGGGAGTGAATCAAATGCTCAGTGTGTCTGTATTTCAAGAAAATGTGAAGCAGATGACGTCTTAGATAACACTGAAACATTTTCAGACTCACAAATGTGGATCTTAACCTGCTTTAGCTGAGTCCATATGAGTCCTTATTTCCATAAAATAACCTTTATCGATGTGTTTTATTAACCTTCACTGCTTGTTTGGTTTTTAGATTTAATGGAGCGACAAAGCAACTTGCACTCACAAGATGATGCAGAACCATCAGTCCTTATTGGTTGGGCGCTGGTGAAGCTCCAGTACGCTGTATTCGTTGCGATGTCACGGGCCCGGCAGAGACTCGTACAGCTCTCAATTGTGTTCTCATTTGTCTTCCTCCTCCTGTGGATCGCTGCATTTCTGTACGGGACTTTCTACTACTCTTACATGCCCCAGGCGACTTTTTCTGCACCTGTGAACTACTACTACAGGTGTGTATGTCAAGTCCCATCCAGCTTCTGTTTTTGTGGTCCATTCTTTCTCATTTATTCATGTTTTAATCTCCAGGACAGACTGTGAATCTCCAGCTTCGTTTTTGTGCTCTTACCCTATGGCCAACATCTCTCTGATCAGAAATAAAAAACATGTAAGTTCATCAGTTTACTCCATGCAGGGGACTTATTAGGCTTTTCTTTAGAGGAAGAAAGTGGTCCTTAATGGGGAGCGGAGTGCGGAGGAACAAAAAAGGGCTTGTTTCAGACAGTGAATTAATTTTAAACAGTGAATCATGCAAAGCCTCACTAGTAGACTCTAAAAATAAAAATATATGGCTGGAAATAAGCATAATTGTTCCCCTATAGACATTCATTCATATTATATATATGTATATATTTATATGCATTCCAAGAATACTCATATGTTTTTTGTAATATATATCGAGGCGCTGACATTCGGCCAGCCCTATCGGATGTCTTTGCAGCTGGAGATGCCGGATTCCCCAACCAATCGGGAGCTGGGGATGTTTATGATTAAAACAACCTGTTTCTCTCAGGATGGAGAGCAAGTGGCCTCCTCTGCTCGCTCTGTAAGCTGCACTCATACTCACTCAGCACCAGCGCGTCTACATGCAATCAAATAGTGTACTTTTAACAGCTACTCCAGTGATTCACTGCTGCACTGCTGTGTGTTTCCCAGGGAAAACATCAGCTGTCTGCCTCCAGCTCTCGCTTTGTGAGTACAATGCTGATGCATGCTAACCCTTTTAATCACACAGCCTGCTCAGAGCCAGATTAGAGCTGCTTATGGCAGGTCTTCCACTGTGTCAGGTCACCCCAGTGCTAAAGTTAATGAGATGACAGGACAGAGATGTGACATGACAGCTTAGAAATACAAGATGAATATGTGACATGGACTGTTTGATTCAGCACCGATACTCAAACTCTAAAGTATTTTTTTTTAAATTCAGCAGAAATAAATTATATGAGTTTTGTTTTAATTGTTTACACACCTCCATACTTTTTAGATGCATGTGTCTAATTTACAAAAAACCCAGGTAAGTGAATCCACAACCACCATGAACAGCCTATTGGTTCATGGGTGTAGTATAAACTCATGAGCGTCTGAGCCTGCATCTGTAATCCTTTCTTTAAATTTCATCACTAAAGACCTTTTGCACCGACTTGCACATTTGTAACAAAAGAGCAAAATGAATTCATCCCAGAGTCTGGATAATAATATGTGCACTGTAAGTGAAAGATATTGTGCTGTGCTGTTGTGGTCAGAGCATACTGCGATACCGCTCAGACCTGCTGAGGACGCTGGGAACGCTGCTGTTCCTCCCGGCCTTTTTGACTGGAGCAGCCGAGCAGAAACAAGTGCTGGAGGTGGAGCTCTTCTCAGACTTCACAGACAACCCAGTGAGTCCTGCATATATAGATGTTAGATAAAAAGGGAGTAGGGAGCAATAAGCAGGACAGGGATACAGGGGAACACATGTTAATACGGAAACAGCAGGTCAATATTTAACTGACACCTAATTAACAAGTTTATTTTCCCTCTCTGTTCAGTATGCTCCCTCAGTCACGGCTGTCATCGAGATCATGTCCAGGAAGGTGCAGATATATTCATCTGACCTCTACATTCATGCTCATTTCACTGGCATAAGGTGAGAATTACCCACATAATGCACACATTTGCTTGAAAAAAGAAGAACGTGTTGTAACGTTTAAACCTCCTCCAGGCCCCTCTGTGTACTCAGATTGCAGGGTTCTCTTCACAGTCTAAAGCTATTTGATGACTGTGATGTATCCAAACTATCATATGGAGCACAAATGATAAAATGTCACTATTTTAGAAAATTGCTTCGACCAGAAGGAATCATACCAGATTACCCTGGAACTGAAATGTAGGCAAAAAGGAGAGCTTTCATGTGCTGCGATTGGTTTCGACCAGAAATACTGCGTGGGAATAAAGACGCTCAAAAGTTTACCCAAAAGAAGTTTTCGATCCATTCATATGTACCTCGAGGGCTTCTTCCAGGAAAATGTTTGTAGTATGAAGGCAAAATTTTGAATGGCTCATTAAATACACGTTTGATTATTTATGGAATATAAATTTTTTATTTTTTTTCTGTGACCAACTGTCAGAATATGGCATTTTGTGAGATCTTCCTCAAAATCATGGGTTGGTTACTTGACAGAGATATAACAATGATAAGCCAAGGCACCAGTGGCTCTGCTTTCACTCGTGGTTTATGAGGAATGAAGCAGAACTTACATTCAGCTCAATAACGCCACAATAAATAGAATAGAAATATGATGTGGACGTGAAAGGGACACACGTTTCTCAGAAGTGGCTCTGAAAAACTTGAATTCAGGTAGCAGTGATCCTCATCTTTGTTAATCAGCTGCCAAACTCAATGACCCCAGGTCCCGACACTGTGTAGACTTTGGCCCAGTCTCAGTGACCACACTCAGAGACATGCAGACTTTGAGATGCATTACTGCTAAGTCTTTGAGGGGTGTCTCTGGCAGACAGTTTGAGTACTTTTTGTCATGGTTCTGGCTCAGGTTACCCAGAGTTTCTTGGACCTTTGAAGTTTTGAAGTTGTATTGATTTATTTTTTCTTTGTGATCCCCGGTTTGTTTGATGTTTATATTCACTTCATGTATTCTTGTATTTAGTTTTGTTCCTAGTTTCTAAGTAGCTTCATCATTTCACTCTTCGTTGTCCCTCATATTTATGTGTCTGCATTTTCCCCATGTAGTTATCTTATTTTGGGAGTTTGTGTTCCTTGTTTGTTGCTTTGAGTTGTTGCTTCCTATGTAGTTGCTGTCTTCCTCATTGTCCTTGTCAGAGCCTCAGTTCACTTCCCCCTAACATATCCCAGGTCCTGTGCTACATTTCCCTAGTATTTATTCCCAGTTTATGCTTCTGTAAAGAGACGTTTTTCTGTTGCTTTTTGTGTTTTGGTCTTTGTTTAGTCTGCACTACACATTCAGGACACTTTTTCCTGAGATTTATATAATATTTACCTGTTGCCTCACCAGATACTTGCTGTACTACTTCCCCATCATATCAGCCATTGTGGGCGTCTCCAGCAACTTCATCTTCCTCAGTTTCATCTTCATCTTCAGCTACATGAGGCTGCTGTTTCAAGTGAAACCACAGCGGGTGAGAAGAGAGACCCATGACTGCAAACAGACAGGGCTCTAAACTTGAATTATCAGATTTTTCCTTCCTGGTCATGCTTACCTGTCACTGAGTTCCTTGTTGCCTACAGTTCAGAATGAATTGGACAGAGGAGAACAACCAGCAAGGGGAGGAAAGAGCTGTCCCTGCAGGTACATTATTATTTATGTTCATGCATGTTTAAACTAACTGGATCAGTTCAAGAGTGTGATTTACTGTGTTTGACTGCTGGAACAAATTCTTTGACAGGCACTGCAGAAATGCTGGGTCCCTTCCATCAAAACCCCACAGACGTGAGACAGGAGGAACCACATTTTCACGTTGGAAATGGCACAGAGCAGCAAAACAGAGATACAATTGGTCAGGGAGAAATAAACGAAACAGAAGCAGCCTGAGGCAACTGATAAAGGAGGAGGAAAATGTGCAGAGAACAACCATGATAATGTGATGTAAAGATGAATATTTAAGGCCAATATCTGGTTGAAAATGATGAAGAAAATCAATTTTACATAAAAGCCGCAAAGAAACCCTGTCATTATGAGAAAAACATTTCTTGGGAATATGTTAGACTGAAAAAAATATATATGGTTTTATTTGTTTGAGTATTTATAGGCACCACAAATAAGTCACTTGCAAATGTCTTTATAATCAAAACAAAAAGACATTTGCTCTGATATAAAATAAAACATAATTACAATGATCATAAATGTTGTAGTTGCTGGTTAACACTAATCATACAGACAAAGTCTGGAGACAAAGTAAGAGGGGTCGGGATGGTTTGGAGATGTGCAGAGGAGGAATAGTGGATATACTGGACAAAGATGGAGGTGCCAAGCAGGAAGAAAAGAGAAAGATCTAGGAGGAGGTTTATGGATGTAGTGAATGGGTGCATGCAGAGGGATAGTTTGAGGTGGAGGCAGATGACGCCCTGAGGCAACCTCCAAAGGTAGAAACTGAACGTGGCTGAAAGAAGAAAAAGAAGTTACCTACACAGCTGTGTAGGTAACTTCCCATGCCACTGAAACACACTTCTGTGTTTCAGTGGCATATTAATCCAAGATTTCTATGTTAATTTACACTTAGATAAAATCTTTTCCAAATACATCAGCTGAAAGCTGCTTTTGGTTTTGGGAGGGGTTTTAAATACAAGTAATTCATTTAGCTGGTTGACTGCATGAAGCATTACCATTAAAAAAAACGACCTTTTTTTTCAAACTGAGCATTCTTGTTCTAAGAAATGAGGACTATTTAATGCGAAAATCAAAATCAGTGATGCTTTTATACACTGGTGTTTGCTACTCCTTTCACATAACAGCCTGAACTGGCTCTAACCAGAATCGAAACAATGTGGGGAAACTCCAGCGGACAACTGAGTATGAAGACAAATACGTTTAAAACAGAACATCCACACATAAAACAGCAGAAACATCAGCAGCACGAAGCTGGGGGCCAGAAATGGCCCAAGACAGACTCAAACCCCAGCTCCTGCAGTAGCCTTTCAGAATATTGGTTGTCTGCTCAACACAGTGAGCCAAACGGTTACCCCACTGCAAGTTTTTTAAGCAATAGTTGCAAAAAAAAAAAAAGCCACACCGTGTCTCCTTATCTTGGGACAATTACATCCATCAACACGCACTTATTGGAAAGTTTATTGGTTACACTTTGCTAGTTCCAGATTGGATCTCTTTTCAGAGCTGCCTTAATCCAACGAGATATCGTACACATCCTTCTTTTGTGCTTTATTGACATGCTAGCATCACACAGTTGTAAATCTCCCATTCCAGCACATCCCAAATATACTTAATTGGATTGAGGTTTAGTCACTGTGGAGGCCATTTGAGTACAGTGAATTCATTGTTATGTCCAAGAAACTATTTTAAGATTATGTGATCTTTGTGATACGGCGCGCTATCCTGCTGGAAGCAATGATCAGAAGATGGGTATACTATGGTCACAAATGGGTCAATATGGTCAGCAACAATGCTCTATAGGGTGTGGCATTTTAAGCAAGTCTGAAGCAGAAATTACCAGTGTGTGAACTTCAGCAGGTTATGTTGAGCATCCCTTACCATGCATAAATGCACTGAGTTGTTGCTATGTGATTGGCTGATTAGATAATTGTGAAAATGAGCAGTTGAGGCTTTCCTAACAAAGTAGTCAATGGGTTTATTTCAAAGTAATATGTACTTATAACAATATACATGAAATCTATTCTACATAATAACTGTCTAGAATTTCTGTTTTCATTAAGCTGTGAAATGTTGGACTGTGGAGCTGTTTCTTTTGTTGTATGATGAAAAGAAATTCTGAAAAACAACAAAGCAAAATTTGCATCTTTTTCTTATTACACAAATAACACTTTTTTTGCATTTATTCACTCGAATGCTGTGTAACTATTTAAGTAAAACACTGTAAAACACATTCATTATTGGAGGGAGGACACCGTATTCCTGGATGTCCTCTTGCCAGTGGCACTCTTGGCCAAATTCCAGCAGCTGTCCCTGAATAAAGCTCTGGAAACTTAACAGCGTCACTGCATGCAAAATTTGGCACCAGCAGAGAGAATGAGAACGGGATGTGGCTCACTGACAGGCACACAGCTTTGTGTAACTGAAAACTTGCAGGTGGAGGACACGGGTTAGGTAAGTTAGATACACGTGAGCATTTAATGCTGCTTCTTCTTTTTTTTCAATTTCTGTCATTTTAAAAAAATGTTGTCGTTCTAGTGATTTTTAGACTCTTTGAATGCTTTTCCTCAAACGTGTTCAAAACTGTGCATCTGTTGTAAAGATTTTGCTGTTGTACAAGCACATGTTGGGCTCACATCCGACACAAAGATGGACACTACAGATGACAACCACACAGAGGGGATAAAGATGGAGATAGAGAATCAGCAAATTGTAGAGAATGACTGCTTTTCCACCTTATCGGATAAAACGCATCAACATCTGTTGATCAGTGAAAGACCGTCGAGCAGCTGCAGGGTGGTCAGATTAAGATCCAGACCCAGTCTCCAGTCAACAAAAAGCTTCCCCCCTTATAGTCAGTGCATAGGTGGACTGGGAGAGGACGAGGACGAGGATGATCAGCACAATTCAGACATGGCTTGCCAGTCAAATGCCACAAATGTGAAGGAAGACAAAACAGAAGAACTTCAAAGCACAGAACGAAACGAAGAGCTGACTACAAGATCTCCAAGGGACTGGTTAAAGGCAAAATGGAAACTTAGGAGGAAGGAGAGGTCGGGGGGAAGCTTTGAGGTCGACGCAGACAGCTGCGAGAGAGGAAGGTGGAGTGGGAAAAGAAGGGTGGAGGAGACTGAAAAAAAAGAGGAATTTAATGATGATGATGATGATGAAGGGTGTGCAAATGCTGAGGGAAAACACTGGAGAGGTAGAAACTCCAGCTTTGAGAAAGTGAGGAAAGAAGAGGAGGAAGACGAAGATGGGAGATCGACTATTTCAGCAGTAGAAGGAGATACAAAGAGCAGCAGGGAGACCCCAAAAAGGAATGATGAGGAGGAACTGCCAGGAGTGACAGAGGGGTCCACAACACAACAGTGGTCCTCCCCACATCCTATCCTCTCCAAGCTTCTGCACTCCTCCACCTCCTCCTCCTCTTCCCTCAACCTTTCCTCCGCAGAGAGCGACGAGGTCTTCAGTGAAGGAGAGGATGCTGGGTCAAAGAGGAAGACATTCAGGAAGGTGAGAATATCTGAGAACAACACATTATACACAGATGCAGCTTTAAAGTATGTTCTCATTTTTTGGGGGGAGGGGGGTCCTGGCTGATACACTAGCATTGGCTCATGTGTCTGGCTGCTCTGGTTTTCCATGGAAGTAAAGTAAAACCATGTTTCTCAACTGTTCTGTGCACCTGTGGTCCTACTGATTTGCATGGGCTTGAAAGAGGACTTTGACAAAGTCAGATTTGAATGGTGTTTGCATGCCTGGCTGCTGCTGCTGCTGCAGATATGAGAGTAAAGAGCGAACAGAGGGAGGATGATAGGAAGCACGCTCTAAACACAGTGTGTTTGCATTGTCAGACACTGAATAGCAGACAGTCGGCTGTAGCAGGCCTACAAAACATTTTAAACCAGCATGGTAACGTTTAATATGGAAGCGTGTATGATTGGAAGAGCTTAAATATGATGTAATAGAGACATTTCCTCCAAACTGCAAGCCTGTCATTTTGTAACAGTGCACTACTGAACATGCTTGGCTCAGCTTCAGCTGCTTTTGGGTTTAGGTTTTTCATTGGCTACCTCTGTGTCTGTTAGAGACTGTTTTGTGTATATACAAAGTAGATCGTAACTGCTGAGGAATGTTCTGTTTGTTGGAGTACATTTTTCAGAGTTTGTTAAGGCCACGTGACTACATGGCTCCCCGAAGTGGGAAATCAAAGAATTTTATGTAGTCATTTTATGCTTTTGTCAAAAGAAATGTACAAATGAACCATTTCCAAATTACAGAGAATTAAAGTTCAACGTGCGTCCATAGCTATGATTTCACTGTGAATGTTTTGACATTTCACGGTAGCAAACGTGCGTAAAAACACACGTACTTGCCGCTTAAAACAAACCAGTTTCTGTTAATTTTATTAATGACATCTCTGTTTTTCCTACTGTGACAAAGCAAGTTTAGCCCTTCACACTAACAAACCGGCTTACCCTGCTTCTTTTTGCATGCATGCTGCTATTCCTGTTGTAGGTAAATTCGGCACTCCAAACTCCCTGCAGGTGTTTGTCTTTGTCCTTTACACATAGGTAACCTACCTATTAACAAAGAAATGGAAGGTATTCTCCACACCCTGAACTGGCCTTAGAGATAATAGTTGTTGGATAACTACTAGACAGGAATGCTCCTCTCACGTAACATGCTTTTCTTTTTATGCCTCAGTGCCGCTCCTGGAAAACCTTCCTGACCATGATGCACTGGTCTATGAGCCGGCAGAGCTCCTGGGTCCAGCTGGCTGGACATCAAGGCATGTGTGTTACAGTTTCTTCCACACAGACACGTGCAGGCTTTCAGAAATCAGCGTGAACACATTTCCAAATGATGCTAGCTATGATGCTGTCCAACACATTGATGTTTACATGATTGCAAAGCTTTCCAAGAGGACATTTTTGACTTGTAAATATGAACTGAAGTCACTATAGGATGTACTGTATGTCATCACCACTGCTTGCCGGCATTAACTCACATTGACTCATATGTAAATATCCATGTGACTGCACATTATGTCAGCTCTTCATGGACTTAGTCATTGTTTTAGTTTGTGTTTCAAAAGATTATTAGGACGTGGGCTAGTCATTGAACAGTGGATGGTTAAAACCAGGAGACAGTGAAGCTCAGTATTACCTTTACTGAGGTGTCAGTCTTGAAAAAGTTTACTATGCTGAACTTAGGCAGTACCCATCACTCTGCTTCCTTCACTTATTGCCTTATTGATTGTATGGGAACAATAATTTCATCTCTTCTTGATGTTTGCTGATGTCATCAGGTAACTTCCAGGTCAGTAAAGGAGGTGAGGTGCTGAAACTATACAGTGAAGTGGAAGCAAACTGCCTGGATTGCCTGATGAGAGACCCGCTGAGACCCTTTGTCCCACAGTATCATGGCTTGGTAACAAGAGGGGAGCTCTGCTATATCCGCCTGGAGGATCTGCTAAGTGGCCTGAAGAGGCCCGTCATCATGGACTGCAAGATGGGAGTCAGGTAAGGCGTCCCTCACATGTGACTCATCAAGTCTTGATTGCAGAATATTAACATTCAGCTACATGAAGGGCTTAGTGAGTTTTCTAGGAGAGAAAATGTCAAGATTTCAGATTTTATGAATAATACGCTACACTGGTTTTAATGTATAGAAAGGGTATTTGGGAATAAATTGTTTATATCATGTTCTTGCTATGATGACTAACTCATGGAAGGTTATTTTTATATCGAATCCCGAAAAAATGACAAAACATTAAAACGTGAACATCCAGTTTGTACCTGGTCCTGAGCTTATAGTCATTAAGAGCGACGGATACGGGAACTGTCGTTTTGAATGGTTCAGATACGTCTTTGTGTCCACAAGGAATGAATTGAGTCTTACCTTATGAGACCTCAGCATCTAAACACCACACTTTCTGCTCAGGGCCAGGAATTAAACCTCCCCTTGAATTTCACTCACTGTGGTATATCACACCATTATTTCCAGTCTGATATTGGTGTTTTTGTTTGAATGACCCCTTTGTCAAAACTAAATATCTACATTTTCTTTGCTAGAACCTACCAAGAGGATGAATTAGTCAAAGCTCGTGTCAAAGCTCCTCTGCGAAGCGATATGTACCAGAAGATGGTGAAAATGGACCCTTCTGCTCCGTCAGCAGAGGAACATGCACAGAAGGGAGTCACCAAATGGCGCTACCTTCAGTGGAGGGATTCAATCAGTTCTACGTCCACGCTGGGCTTCAGGATAGAGGGCATTATGGTAGGAGTGAAGGCCAGGGAAGGAACTGCACTGTTTATGTTTATTAAAAGTATCCATCTGATAAAGTATCTGTTTCTGTCTCTGTGAGTCAGATGGAGGATGGTAGCATCCAGCGAGACTTCAGGAAGATTCAGACTTTAGCTCAGGTCACTGAGGCACTGCTTTACTTCACCAGGAGCCAGCTGCACACTCTGGTCAGTTCTGCTAACATGTAAAACTTTTCCTTTAGAAAACGCACTGGAATCATGTCATAGTAAGAAAAAAATTGTTTGATAACAGAAAACAGAACTGGCAACTTCAAAACTGATAATGAATGCAATCCTTAATGAGCAAGCAAGTGGAAAAAGTGAGGATAAAGAAACCCTAAGTGGAGCTAAACCTGGTGAGGACTTACATCTGCTGTGACCTGTCATGGTCGTAGGGAAAAGTGTAGAGAAGTGCAAAGTTCTTGCAGTGTATACCTAAAGACACTTACCAGACCAAACTATTTTGAAAGAATAATCCAACACCAACCACTTTACAAAATGATCAGAAAATGTAAAATTACTTTTGGATTTTCTGCTCATTCACATCTCTCATTCTTAATTTTTGGAGAAAGCAGACCTGCATTTTCTGGCAGAGCTGTGACCATATTAAAAGCATTGTCTTTCTTTTACAAATAAGAGTGAAAAAGTGTCATCGTGACTTGTCGAATGTGGGCCCAAATGCAGGCAGGAATGAGCTAAAAATGATCCGTTTATTAAAGATGTTGGCAGATAATCCACAAAAGGAAAAAAAACCCCACAAAGTCCAAAATATAACTGAAAATACACAAACATAAAACTTGGAAAACACAC